GGAGAGAGAGAGAGAGAGAGAGAGAGAGATACATTTGACGTCAGAGTGTATTCTCAAGCCCCTTTCAACAAAACTTTAGTCAGCATAAAAAATACCTAGGACAGCCCTCTAAATAACCCAGCTACAGAAATAGATTTGAATAACTGAATCTCGGCGACTGATCCCAAAAGACTGATTGATTGATTTTCTACATCAATAGTCACGTAAAATACTCTATAATCAAATGTTTGGGGGGCTGTGTGATATTTGATACCTGTTGGGGAAATTTCTTGGATGCACTTTCATGAATATTGTGAAACACTTTATAAATCTTCAGGATTAAACAGATAAGAGTTGTAAAGAGTTTTATTCTGTTCTTCAAAAAGCCCACTGACACATGCACACACAAACACAAGCATACACATTTATACGCACTGTTAGACATATGCACACATACGTGTACAGACATTTACATATACATGTATAAATACACATACAGCAACATAAATATACAAACACACACTCAGACATAAGAACACACACACACATACATTTACTACACATAAAAACACAAAACACATACACAAACGCACACATCCACATAATACACACAAACGCAGGCATACGTACACACACACACACACACACACACACAAACACACACACACACACACAAACAAATACAGACGCTTACATACAAACACACACAAGCACACCAAGGAGATTAAAAGTTCTAAACTCCTTGAAGCACACATATAAGCACACACACACACACACACACACACACACACACACACAAACATACACACAAACACACACACACACACACATTACACAGACATACACACAGATACACATACACACCCACACACACACATATTTCCTCTCCACCCCGCCCCCTCACACAAAACACACACACACACACACACACACACACAAACAAACAAACAAATAAACAAACACACACACACAAGGTCACGTTTAATCTTTACGAACTGTAGAAGTTAACAATACCTTGGCACAAGTACAAAAGGCCAATAATGCTAGTTACCAGCTTGCTCCACTACTGAAACATCCTAACATCCCCATGAAAACAAAACTCAAAATGATCAACATCATATTCATCTCAACACTCACCTATCAATGTCAAACATGGACCACGAACAAGACATTGGAGCAAAGAATTACAACATGTGAAATGAGATGTCTTAGAAAACCAGTAAACAAGACCAGGCGAGACGAAATTAGAAACTAAGTAGTCAGAGAAATGGTGGGCACAAATGATGTCATGCATCACATCCAACACCAAAATGAATCAAAAGGTTCGGACATCTCAAGCGATTACCAACACCTCATCAAGCCCAACGTGTCTACATTTTTTTAAACATCCAATAGCAACGAGGTTAGAGGAAAGACCTGGATAGATGGAGTCAGGGAAACACTAACAGCTCAAGTTAGCATACCCCTGGCCCAAGCTCTCCGGCTGTTGGCAGAGAGACGCCTCTTTCTTCCCGCGACACACATGTGTAATATAAGCGATGGATAAAAGTAATAAGTAACAATACCTTGGCGAGCAGCCCTCTTCAAAAATAGTTTGTAGTCGACCTGCATACTTCCTCAGGTCATCCATGTCTCCTCTGTCCAGTTGAGCCGATGACCAATGAGAACCTGGGCGGGAGAAAGGGG